GCCCACAAGTTTTTGACTTTANTTCTCTACACATTATGCAAGCCCTTTATCTTATTTTTTGAAATCGATGCTGATCAGCTTCCAGTGCCAATGAAAGGCTTCAGCCTCCCAGGCCTCGAGAGCTTCTCACCGATTTCACTTACCCACTCGAACCAGCACCTCTGCCCGGTACTCTGGCAGGCTTTTTGTTCCCTGGTTACCCCTTGCCGGAACCGCAACCCTCAGTCCCATATCCTGCTGCTTTCCTTGTGCAGACTCTGGCCATTGCAGGGCCATCTACTCCGCTTCCTAACTCGGAAGATGTCCCTACAACCCCAGCTTGGAACCCAAGCTCACGAACCCCCCGCCGTGGTGATGATGGTAATTATGTATTTAATTCAAAGTCAATAGATACTGATGCAATTGTGACAGCCCCTTCTCCGTATTGGCTCAGAGATGACTGCTTCGCCAACATGAGACTGAGCCTTCGTCTCATCAACACCAACCCTAATTTCCATAGGGGCGAGCACGAAGATAAGTGCGGGGAGTTCAAGGGAGTAGTCAGAGATGTGGTGAAGGTCCAGATCAGTTTCAAAATGTTGGAAGTGCCATTTCCATATTTAATACCTGAAAGGCCAGAGTGCAAATCCCAGGTCATTACCACGTTTACCGGCCCACATAAGGGGTCGCAGTTTAGGATCAAGGAGTTTGGCGAAAATTTTTGCGGCTGCTCGATTTTGAAATCAACAACGCTTTTGAGAAAGGTTGATGTCAAAATCGCCACCAATCAACTGGTAGTCACCCGAGATAGTCGGCGATAAAATACCCATACCATAGATATATTATAAATACCTTAGAGACTTTTTTTGTATGTTATACGCATATCTTGGTGATAATCTACATTGATAATCTACATATTTTTGACCTTAATGCGAGGCTGTGAGGCATGCGAGACCGTGAGGCAAACAAACAATGACTTAACGGATGAACTTAGAATGAAAACCTTCGTTATATATTTTTTAAACAACTTGGAAATATTGCATGTAATTTTTACGTGTAACTTAGTGACACGGACCATGATCTGCCCAAAGAAATAATGACTATTTACATGACGGGTATTGCTACGGGTACCCGCCAACCCCTGTCACGGGTACAGGTTTGGCGAGGGTAGCGAAGATCAAACCCGTACCCCTACCCACACGTACCCTTACCCGCAACCCGCACGGGTTGCGAAACCCGTGGCAATCACTACATATAACTAGCAAGTGGCAATTTAGAGTGAGAGGGTTCTACATATTCTTGAAGAGCAGCATAAGAAAAGATTTCCTCAGTGATTCCCTCATGATGGAAGAAAGGAAATAATTCCAGAAGGAGCATTGCACTTTTGGCTGCACTGGTCTTATGAGAATCATCACACTTAGCCCTTTGTTGAATTTCTTTGTATGATAACTCCCAAGGTTCATAGACAGTTCTGTTATACTTAGAAGCTCCAGTAATTTCAGGATGAGATAATAGTGTTTTTCGATGCTCATGATATTTTGCAAGATAGTTTCCAATAGTAGTGGCTCCAGAAGAAATGTAAGCACCAGCCTGATCAATAGCAAGAGGAAGGTAGAAGAGCTCCTTCACAATCTTAGAAGCTTCAGTTTGAAACTCCATTGAATCTGTATCCAAGAAACTGCCTTTTAGAAGTAATTCAATAGCATCATTCTCTTCCATCTCAGTTACTTCAAGAGAATTCTCAGGTGAAGTTAGATTTCTCATGGTGGAGTTGCAACTAGTTATTAGAATGTTTCCCCCCCTTCCAGGTGGAAGATAAGCCTCCAGCTCAGCAGGTGACAGAACATCAGCATTGTCAAAAACCATCACATAGTTCTCTTTCAGCATGCCAATCCAGTGAAGAGCAGATTCAGCTGAGCCATCCAGTCCACTAGACTGGGCTGCAGGAAGATTACAAATACCCTTGAGTGCCTGTGTGATGGTGCCAACTGAGGAAGCATCAAGCCAAAAAACAGAAGAGAAACTGAAGGCAATTGAAATTTGAGAAATAAGGGAGATCTTCCTTTTTGGCAATGCTCACTGGCCAGACATTTCCTCAACAAACTTCAAACAGATCTGAGTCTTTCCAATACCCCCCATTCCATACAACAGGAAGAACTTTCGCCTCTGAGCTGAGTCATTTGTGTGAAAAAAATGCCTCTTGAGTTCAGTGATGACTTGTGTGCGACCTGTGAACCGATTGCTCGGATTTGGCATAAGGGGAATGACCCCATCGGACATCGTCCTACCGCCATAATTGATGTTGATCTGCAAGACATTCAATGCCATCAGCTTGCGTGATGGATAAACATTGCACTCACAGTCTTAGCTTCATTGAATGTGTTGCCGCTAGCAACAAACTGGTGAGCGCCCGCAAAGCTCATGTTGAGATGTCGAAAGTGGAGAGGTTCAGGATGAGGGAAGGAAGGAAAGAGGAGCGCCCAAGACGTTAGAGACCCCCCAATCATGCCACGAGGTGAACGTGTGCTTTGGTCTATTTTTATGTACCTTACGCACGTGCCTGAGCTTTTCTTCTTCGTTTATGCCCTTCCAGTGTGACCCTCTTTCGAGGTAAGCGAGTTCGCTTTCGTTTGATGAAACACCTGTGTTCATACCTGTAATCCCTTTTCCAGGACAGAGGTGCTGCGCAGTAGCTCAGCGGGTCGTGTTCAGGTGCCGAAATATCTGCTTTGATCCGCTTCGTCGAGTCCTCGTCTTGGCCGCGAAGTTAGTTAGATTCCGATTTTAAACCGGTGATAGCGATCGACTGTTGTCGCAGTGGCTCTATGGAAATCCCAGTGTATTCCCCCGCACACCCACGTTTTCTCTAAACGGACCCTCAATCAGAAAGTAACCCTCCTCTGCAATGCTTTGTGCCCAACCACTCTCAGCAGCGGCAACACGCCTCCTACCTCCCAACCTCAACTTCGCCCCCACTACCTATTCTCGGCCTTCCCCCTCTACTACCTATCCTCTGCTGCAGAACTCCCACTACCTTGTTGATCCTTTAGCCGTCTTCCTGGAATATGTCGACCATTGAGAAGGCCACTCCGATGCCACATATGGCATAGCCTCCTCAATTCAGTGCATTGTAAAAGCGACGGAGCAGGGATCTTGAAAGGACGGGGATCCCGCCACTGTTCAATGTCCACGAGCGGATATCGTGGACAAGGTTCAGACGAGTCTTCCTCAGTGCGAGGAAGAAGGGTGACTGCTGAGCTGCAAGGGTTGAGCGCTGGACGTTCACGGTACCCCAATCGTCGCTCACCCAGTTTCTCTTTGATGTTGCCTCCCACGGAACCCAGGGTCACGGTGAACTCGCCCCCACCTTCCTTGTGGTGGGGAATATTCCATTTCTTCCCTCGCATCGGCGCCTAGAAAGAAAGGAGCTCATGTTCCCTGAGGGGCGGAGAGGATCACGTCGAGTCCGTACTCGCTGAACTGACTCCCGATTGTCAACACCGCTTCAGAGATCGTGCGGGGGAAGGGCGAATCGGCGCCATTGAAAGGCAAAGGCTGGTCGAGTCCGATACGATACGACACAGCGTTATGAATAGCGCCTGTCGATAGGTTTCGGGAACGCGGTTGAGGGGGATAGGATGTTGGTTGGTGTGGTGAGGTAGTGCTGTCGGAGGCGGAACGATAGAAGGCCACCGTATAAGTGGATGGATGAATAGACGGAACGAGCTTGGAATGAGCGAGAGAGCGGAGAAGTCCGCAGTGTCTTATGAGGTGGAAATATGAAGATGACACACCACCCTTTTGCAGCTCATGGTCCCGTTTTCTGCTGCTCTCGGGGTGTTTTACGCAAGTAGGAGAATGCTTTCTCGATTGAATGTACGTCGAGCTGTGGCTGCCATATCTTGCTATTTACTTTACTGATATCTTTTGGATCAGGACACAGCACCAATGGCATTCTTCGCTCAGCATTTCCGCAACCCTCAATCGTCCCGAGCTTAGGGGATCCGATGTTCCACCTCTTTTCGCCACCTTAACTCCTCTCGTTTCCGTCAAATTCAGCCGACGTAGTACATCCAAGAGCACAAACACACTGCAACCGAATTCAAGCCGTGGGCTAGCAATGATCTCGATTGTTTTGGCTATGCTGTAATTCCCCAGATCCAACCTACTTCATCCCCTCCAATCAACCCCTCCAATCAACCCAACTACAAGCTTTACCCATCCGCCACGCACTCGTGCACACCGCCCGTCTCTGTAGTGATGCTGAGCGCCTCACCTTCCTTCCCCTTTCGACCTGACTGGCCAACATTGATAATTGGGTAGACTTCGGATACCGCGTCTGCACAGCCGCGATGGTTCTTGAGCAGTAATGCACTGATGACTTGGGAGGGTGGACGTTGTAGAGAGCCAGGTCTACGTCGATCGCGATGCTTGCAAAGTTCCTGACGCCACCTTACGTATACGCAGCTCAAGCCCGTTCGACATACCTTCCCCTTCGAGCAGTAGAATGCGAAGACCCAACGTTTTCCGGGTTCGGCTCGACAGCCTTCTCGGAAGAAGGAGCGGGCGCAACGGAGCACGATCAATGGGGAGTCGATGCCCCTTACGAAGGATGGTTGGTCGAACCCCGTGTGAGGGGGCAGTTGGTCGAACCTGGGAAGTCGAACGGCTGAGGGTCATGCATCTAAGAAATGTCGCCTATCGAGGAGAGGTCTGAGAGTGTATGGGGTGGCACCTTCCCTAGTCTGGAGAGGGTGTCTTCTGGGAGTGGCGTTTCTTGCGTGGTCTGAAGAAGAGACGTGGTGACTCGGTTGGATGGTGGAAGGATGTTCGAGGGAGCCATGTAGCGATTGAGGAGAATAAACCAACAGAGACCCATATTAGCAGTGTATCTAGATGATATGCTGTATTGGAGTAGAGATGTGTACGAATAACTATTTTCCCTGGTACTACTTAGTGTTTGGGGTACGTTGGGAGGACACTTGTACTAATTGGGCGTGACATCATCCAAGCTTGATTTCAACCACCGCAAGTTTGTCGCGTTCAATGCTACATGTGCGCTCGTCTGCCGCTCCTGTCTCAGCGTAGCTTCAACTTGATGCTATTCTTTCTGGAATAAAGGTATGCCTAGCTGTAATTCTCACATCTTAACGTTCACCCTAATCCACCTCACCTCTCGTGCCAGTGCTCTTTCTACTCAGCGTTACCCCAACGGCCTCGATGTTTACGAGCTCAAAACTCTGTTACTACATACTGACGCACGTACACGGAACGGAGGATTCTCGGCCGCCAGGCACCAGACCCTACTGCACGAATTAGGCCCTTCAAACGCATCGTCCTGTGGAACGGCTTTCCTCGTACGTACGTACCCGCAGAAATGATAGCGACTCACCCCCACCCATGCTCGGCGTGGCTGATAATCAGAGGTCAGGTGAAGTTCGAAAAAACGTCAGGCAGAAGAGGTATACGACGAGCGAGGTGGTAAGTACGAGAATTGCTGGGTCTGTCGTGCGATATTCTTGACAAGGCTGCAGCAGTTTCCTAGGGTGGCATTTCAAAGTTCGGACGACGACGGGCTCGATCTCTTCATGTTCTACTCTAAGCCAACGCCGCATACACCCCGATTTTCCGGTTTCGAGCCAACCTTTAGCCAGAAAGGTATCAATTATGCGAGTTGGTATTATGCCATAATCTCTGGCCGATACCCATACGTCTATTCAACGTCTAATCCCTACGCTCCCGTCGGAGAGACTCATAAAAAGTGGCGTGTGTTTACTGTTTAGACAGGGCATCTGGCGGGGATTTGAAGGGTACGTGTTGTTTTCTTATTCTAACGGCCATAATCATGATGTTGCGTAGAGGCTTTAAGAGCTCAAAGGGTGAAGAAAGAATCATGCGCATACTGCCCATTAGGCCCGTTGATGCCGTTGGTAGTCAGATGTCTGACCCTTGTCTGTCCGTTCCGACGATTCAGATGCCTGAGACTTGCCGAGCAAGCAAATCGATATGCCCTTCCTGACGACCTCGAGCAACGGCGATACTATCGCGGACTTCCTTGTTGACACGACTGACCTTCTCCTGAACAGGAAGGTCCTTCAGCTTGGTGATGCTCGCCAGTTCATTCGCCATTGATGTGAGGGATGTCGCGGAGGGCGTTATTCGTTTGTTGAATCTGAGGTTAGATGGTGTGGAGCTGTGAGGCAGAAGATTGTAGAGCGATTCGGAAACTCGAAGCGGATGAGGCGGTTGACGGCTGCAGTTTCTGCAGTTCAGAAACCATGTTGTCTGACTAGAGGATGGGGGTCTTGTCAGACCCGGGTCATAACAACACTGGCGCCACATACATAAACATATCTATGCCTTTTTCTTTCCCCAGGAGAGATACCCTGCAACCCACCTCCCCACTGAGGAATCGTCGGTGTTGTCGTTGTTCAGCCGCCGTCACTGGGGTTCCAAGGGTCCTTTCAACCTCGAAACACCCCTGGTTCAAACCGAGCCTCCGAACCTCCCTCACCAAACAGGTTTTCATCACGAGTCACCAATGTTTTATCTCTGCATCGTTCAGCTACTGTCGCCTGGGCATCCCTACCTGACCTCTCGCTGCTGCACGCAATGGAAACGCAATCTAAAGGCCACCTCCGTCGACGGTCACTCGAATTGGAAGCTGTTGAGATTGAAAGGCGAAGAGTTATCGTATGGGTTCTCGCCTTCATTGCAAGAATGCCTAAGTGCAACCTAAGTGCATCGCTTCTGAGTGAGTTCCTCCTTCCATTGCATTCTTTCTACCTTACCTTGTCATCCCCTTCTCTGCTGCAACAAACCTTGCAGCAGTTTCCCCTTGTATGCTCCAGTCGAGTCGATCTCCTTCCTATATACTGATAATCTCCTCCCAGTTCTGGTCGTGGTAACGTCGTTCACGAGCCTCGTGCTTCTACAGCCAACAAGACCCCCCAATCTTAAGCGAGGTTTCTAGTGGTACGACAATTAGAACCTTGAATTTATGACCTTCTGGATGCTTACATTACCACTGCAACAGCCCCACAATCCTTTTTGCTCTGCTTCCCATCTGCAAAGCCCGACTCAGCTATCCGCTCGTAACAACTCTGCATACGGGTAGAGGAGACTCCTTGGTAGTTAGTTTTCTCCAGCCCCGTAGTCGACACTGCCAGCCCTAAACGCCCTTTCCATTGCAGTCCTAGCTTGACGACGCCAATACGCTCTCAAGAAGCTCCACAATCTACGGTACGCCATCTGGTTCACGTCATTCAGAAGAAAGTGACGCTAGCTCGAGCTGGAGAGCTGGGAAGAGGGGAGAACGGACGTTTTTGACTTCACTGAGTTAGTTACCCCCTCCTTTGTGCTTTTCTCCCTGCTTTGGCTTCCGAATCCCCTTATCACCTTGCAATCCATTTGACGTTTTACGCTCGGCTGACTGCCTTTGTGTGTTACTCAGGTTCTGATTCCACAACACTGGCAAACTCCAACTCTCCCGACTTCCATGATTGCATCATCTTTTGGGTCCACCATTTGCACCACTTTATGCATCGGCCCGCGAAGGGAATATTGCCATGGCGGAATCCACCCAGCTAAGGCGCCTCTACGGAGCTCGTGGATCCAGCATCACCTCTTCGCCAGCAGCCACGGCAAGTCCCTCACATAGAGCAATTCGTCGTCCGCCTGATCATAAGCGCAAGCTTGAGTCGCAGAGCTGTAGAGTGGGGATAACTCCTTCGGTAAGTCATCAGCCTTGCATTACTTATTCCTTCGGTATACCGTTCTCCGTCCCCCGGCTTTTGAATTCCTCGTCACCTTTCATCTATATGCTCTTTTGCCTGGCTGACCGGCATCCTTCGTTACTTAGGCTCTGGTTCCACAGCGCCAGTGCAATCCCCAATTAGTGATCGCATCTTCTTTCCCCTACCACCATGACTCGCACAACTCGGCCACTTGCACCCCTTCATGCGTCGACTCGCTGTTCGGCTATCCTCTTCCACCAAAGCTCAGAGCTCCTCGATAACCTTCTCGCCGACAACCCACTCCGTCCTTTGCAACGCCTCAAGTCGAGCAAAAGTTAGAACCAACGCCTGGCTACTATTTAAAACCTGCTCTACGTGGCTAACTGTTTTCTTCCTTCTTCCAGACATCCCACACGTCACTACGTACACAGCACCGAACTACCCCAATTCCATCTCGTAGTACAAGCAATCAGTATATCATGTTTCTCGTTGACATTGGAATCGGCATACATACCGCATAGATTCAACACCGTCCGGTACCATTTCAATTCCTAGATACTCCTTTGTCTTTACTAGGAGCGCCTCTGTTTTCAAATTGTGTCCCTCGAGCGTGGCAGGCCTATCACGAAGGTTCTTGTCGGATAAACAAGCAGCCGCTTTGAATATCTCCATATTGAGCAAAGCGAAGGTCGTCTGTAATGACGCTCGTGTGTTTTAGCCGAGTGGAGTCTACAGCGTAGGAGGATCACTGCTTATCGTCACCTCGACGACTCTGCAGCTCGTCCAGGTGCTATTGGAGCTGGTCCTTCATATGCAGCAGACCAGAACCCCATATTCCAGAACTCTCTGTCCCCTTCCGAGAGTCCACCCTCACCTGAATCACTCAGCCCAGTCCTTCGACCTCTGACCTGTTCAACGAACTAATGTCCAGGTCAGTCAAAACATCGAATTCATAGATCGATCATTCCAAAATACTGACCAGCATGCTACCTATTTCCACTCTACACGGAATCAGTCATCATCTCCGATATCTTCGCTGCTATGCTCTATCTACGGAAACAAAAGTCTTAGATGAGGGCAATGGCACAGGAGAATACGAGCAATTACCCAATATCCGATGATTCCAGCGATCACATCACACATTGTGCGTGAAATTTCTTCGTCACCAAGAGGACTACGCTCATGAGCCGAGTCCGTTGCAAAGACTGAGCATATATGGCACCATCACCACTAGAGTGGATTTTAAGGACAAGGAAAATCCAGTTGTGCCCATCGATCACAGCTCCACGGATGATGTCTTTTCTGCCGCGAAATTGTCATTAATTCAATGGAAGATGAAAAGAATAAGCCCTCCGACCCAAGTTGTTTTGCACAAGCGTACATTTCACACACGGCTTGAGGGACATGGTTCTCGAGTGAAATATTGCCTGTCTTGGCTTCTGATATAAAAAGAGTCTGGTCGAAGTCTTGCGGTACCCCCAGACGCAGTGGCAGGGCCAAATAATTCTCTGGGTAAAAATAAGCAAGGCGAATGACGGTTGTTAAAGAGATTTACCTGCGCCCGATGTGCTTGCCCCGATGGTAGTGGAGTCTATGTAACCTCCAAAACTAGAAAGTTTGTCAGTTGTTTCTGGGACGCTCTGCTCTACGCTGAAAACCAGCTACCTGCCTTGTGGCACCATTGCAGTGGCGCGGAAGAAGAAGGGATCGATCCACCGGGAACGCGAGGCTGCTTCATTATTCTGATGAATCCAACATGAGATATTTGCCCGGTATAAGTATATCGCACACACTGGCACTCACCACTCTCGGGACGAGCTTTTGCAGCTCACAGAGGTGACGATACAGCCCCTCGGAAGACCAGTGTTCCGAAGTCATTCCGAACGAGTCGCTCCGTCGCGGCCACCCGAATTTTGAAATCCGTTTTGAGCTTGAGCGAGCCGCCAAGTTTGATATTCAACTTGGACAGAGCTTCTTCTACCATGCCAGAGGAAGAAAGGGCCTGGAAGAGATGGTAAGGAAGGTCGGCATGTTTACTAGCGGGGGCCCCGTCAAGCTTCGCCTGCATCATCGCGAGCATTTTTGCCAGGTTCCCTCGAAATCCGGCTCAAATGTAATTTGGTCCTCTTGCGACTGGAAGTCGTCAGAGGCATCCACCTCGTTCGTCGCGGAAGCCGTCTCCAGCAATGATTTGACACTCGTGAGTGACTGGTAGGCCATCCTCAGTTCCACTGCAGCCAATTCCGTAAGTCCAGATGTTTTCTTGTGGTCGTTCCTATTCGTGGCGTTCGACGCTGGCCATGGCACTTGTGATGGTGGCATTAAGACAGAAGATTCTTAAGTACTTAGTACTTGCCTAGTGATAATTGATTCCAAATTGGTGATTCCAAATTGGTGATTCCAAATTGAAAGGGAAACGCGTGATCATGTGACCGTGAATTGGAAGTCGTGATATTAATAATTCAAACCCCCACGTTCAAACTCATCCTCTGCGCTCTCCAACTTTTTTCCCGCCCAGGACGCGCGGCCCACTATTGCATAGCATCGAGGAATTCTGCGCAGGATGGCAACAAAGGAGCGTCGTCGGCCATTGTCGAGCCGTTCTGTATCAAAAGCAGGGAAACAGGTGGCTGAAGACCTCGCCGATGCATTGGCCACAAAGTTAACCATTTCAGGCTCCAAGGGAAAGCAAAAGGCTGCTCCGGAGGTGATAACCGAAGATGACCTTCGGATTTCAGCAATGCGGTCTGTCAATTCGGCGTCACAAGAGCTTTCTAACGTTGTCCGTTCTGGCTGGAAGAAGTCCCTATCCAACTTCTCAAAAACCACGCTGTCCAACGCCGAGTCGTCTGCCTTGACGGCGGAAGAGAATTTGTGCGTCTTGCGTAGGATATGCCTGCAGGATATGGACGTGGAAAGGGCGGCAGTGAGTGTCTTAGGCAAGTTGGTTACTCTAGATATGGTGAGTTCGAACTCTTGATGTTCATCCAACGTCTAACGTCTGTGTAGCACGGTTGTGCATTAACTGCGTTAGAATCTATGCACCCACGAATATGTGGTTTCTTGAATGTTACGACGCCCACCTCGAATGACCACCGATGTCATCTGCTATCAATACCACTCCCCTCACCACTACCAACGGATATAACTCTCTTGACACTTACATCGACCTATCTCGCTCACGCTCTTTCCACACTGGCTTCAATATCAACAATTCCTCAAGCAGTCGATGCACTGTCGTCGTCCTTGACACACCCCACATCCTTCTCTTTTCTGACCTGGGTGCCCTCGATATCTTCCTTGCCCGCCAAACAAACAGACGCGATGCTTACCCGCAGCTACTCGGCAATTACGAAGCTCTGCTCCACTTCCACCTCCACAGCTTCGTCAACGGCAAAGATCAAAGCGACCAATCCATCACCCAATCCCGAGCGGGTTTTTCAACTACGAATGTATGCCCTTCGTTGTGTCTGCCACTCTTCCAGAGGGACAATAGAATCCGGCACATTCTGGGAACAGGTAATTAGGTCTGCTGTGGCTCTCGTTAAGGCCAGTCAGTCGCTTTCCCCCGAGGTGGAGGAGAAGGTGACAAATCTAGTCCTCTGCGAATATGCGGAGATTCTTGGGTGTGCTCAGAAGCGGGAAGATGGCCTGTCATTTTTAGAGGGGAAAGGTTTCGTCGGATTTTGCGAGTATTGGATGGCTTTTGCGAAACGGGTACGTTTGTTCCTATCAATCATTGTGATGACACACTCAACACGGACGGCTAGGCTGGGGATATCTCTGCCCTTGAGAGGATTGGAAAGCTGATGCAGCATGAGCTCCCCAAGCCGTCCTCCAGTAAGATCGCCCAACCGGTGGGAAGGACGCAAGCACAAGATGCCGATACCATCACAAAGGAGGCTACTCGGATTTGCGCAGAATTCGCACAGGTTACGACCTTGCTGGAGCAAAGGCCCGTAGAAGATGGTAGGTGGTTTCCTGTTCTTACTCTGCTCGCTCACGACGCTCTCTGCAGACGTGCTAATCAAGCATCTGGAATCATGCACTGCCCTGATAAAGACGTCAGCTTGCCTACAATCTTTACTATTCTCGGAAGACCAGGAACTCGCTCGTATTAGTGGCAAAGTGGATCGAGCATTCGAAAGACTCCGTCGAATGGCCGTCAAGTCACTTGACTCCCTGTCTACAGATACGGAGGTTAAAGCCTTCGTGTTGTCTTGTGTCGACCTTCTCCAAAAGCTTGCAGTTTCCGTAGCGCGGAAATCTGACATCATCACTCGCACGTTGGATTCTCTCTTCGTGCTCGCACGCACTGCTCTCAATGTTCAGGACCCTAGGACGTATGTCCCTGCCTTTGAGCATCTCGGGGTTGCGGTATCTATCCTTGATTCTGTGCCTCAGGATGCAGACGTAGACCGTGCGAATTACATGCGTTGCATTTCGGGGACATACTACAACATTTCAGGATCACTCTATCAAGCAACACGATATGGTGCTGCAGTGCCGTTTCTACGTGAGGCGTGTCTTCTTGGCGCAAAGGCGTTGTCGATGAAAGGGCGCGGGGAAGGGAAAGGGAAGGGGAAGGAAGAGGCAAATCCGGAGACGAAGAGTAAAGTCGACGGAGAAATGGAATGGAATCAGCTGGAAGAGCAGCTTTACCGTCGCTGGGAGTTGCTCGCTGTTTGTTATAGTAAGAATGGGGATCGCAAGGTGATTTCTCTGCCCTTCTGTTGACTACGTGGCTCACATGTTCTTTCTTGAAGAATGCCTACGACGCTTTCCAACAGTGTATATGCACATTTCCGTTTACGTCCTCTGGATTTGAAGGTCAAACGGATGCGAAGAGTGTCGAGGATTTATTCGGAGCATCTGCCAGCTCATCCGTTAAGCAGTTAATGGCCACCATCGACCGAGTAAGTTACATTGGGGCATGCGAGCTGCTTCTGCCGCCAGAAGATGTCTCCCTTCGTTCTCCCCAGCGTTTCGCTGCCTCTGATGACGGCAACCTTGTCATGGACCCTCGGGTTGTCGGAGTCCTTCTGGAGCAGCAGATTGATGGCCTTCAGCCGAGTCAATGGAAAGAGGGCGTACGGGGTGTCTTTGTGAAGCTGTTAAGAGATTCTCTGGAAGTTTATGATGCGGCCTCGTTCCCTATCAGGCGATCCAGAGTTCTGATAAGGTGTATGGCCTTTGCATATCGGGACTCTGGAGATGACTGGGCCGTGATCTTGGGAAATGTGCAGGAGATGGGCAGTGAAGTAGAGCGTCTCTTGACGGCTCAGGTATGGACTTCCCCCCATTCTTCGAGCCTTTCATCATGGACCTGATCTTCCAAACTAGAACTTGGCTCGGGATGTTGCATTAGCTCCTTACCGCCTGCAATACCATGCATCCGCACACCTCTGGCTCGCACTTCACGCTCATAAACGCGCAGACCCGGAGCAAGGCACAGTTATGGCTCAACATGCAGATCAAGCGTGTCAGATTCTGAAAGACCTCCTCGCTCTTGGTCCAGCTGGGAGTCCCAGGGTAGCGAGGAAAGGGCTGAGTCCCAAAGTGAGAAAGGTCTCATCCTCGTTAACGCAGATACCAAGAATTGTATCCCCCAAAGCTACCAGGACCACTCGTCAACGCGTACCGGCTGCTCCAAAGAAAGCTGCTCCAGTCAAGAGTAACTCGAGGGTGGCTGCTCGTCCTCCTGTTACTCCCCAGGTCAAGCCAAGGGCTGGTAAGTGTTGATCATATTTTCGGTTAACATGTGCTAATTTGCCTTCTTTTTCATTCTAGCACTTCAGCCAGTTTCACTGAATACTGCGAGAACGCCACCTCGACCCTCTTTGGATGCTGCTGCGAAGACGAAGTCACTGTTGACTTTTGATGACTTTGATCAATTTTTAGGGCTGCTCCGTAAGTTCTTTGGTGCCGTTGTTTGCGAGTTACCTAGTCTAATTACTGTTATTCTCAGAACTCACGGCTCGCCTTCTTGGTCTCCTTTGCCTGGTTCTTCCAAAAGTCCATATATTGGACCTCACAAGGAAGTTGTGTGAGCGCCACGCTGGCGTGGCGAGCGATGGTGTGTCTTCCATATCTAAACATGTAATCTATTCTTGACGTCTCTCCCGCGTACTTTAGGATACATCTCTGCATCAATTGACCTTGCACATGAGTACGTGAAGATTGGTAAGATGAAGAGGGTGGCCATGATTTTCAATCTGGCATTGGAGGTTGTTAGAAACGGACAAGCCTCGCCGGAGGTATCCTCCGCCTTCTTGTTACGATTTGCGGAGTCGTTGGCCTTAATCGAGGATGTGTCTCGAAGGTACGTATCCTATTTTCTTTGGTGGTTGTGTTTGTGGCTGAGTTTGAGATGTAGCTCAAATGTCTATAACGAGGCGCTAGTTCATTCAAGCAGGTTGGATACGGAGGAGAAAGGATCGACCACTCTTCAACGGATCCATACACGGGTCAAGCGTCTGGAGAGGGCAGCGATGGCTTCCCATATCTTCGGATTGATTCAGTATTGCAAGGTAGTGCCTTCTAATATTCCACCCATCGTTGTTGACATCGAACCTATTTAGGAGGACGTTGCTACATCACTGGAAGGCATGCTCCAGTCTCTTCGTTTGTGGAATCGGGCTGTGGACACATTAGGACGTCTTAACCCTTCGCCTCAATCCTCCACTAAACCATCCTCGGAATCGAATCCATTTGAAATGACAGGTATGAAAGAAGCCCTTACGGCTGACCAAACATCCGCTCCAGCACAATCACAACCTACGCCGAACAAGTCATACCCTCCACGATCTTTCATTCATGATTTGGAGTGGCGGACAGCTGAGGGACTTTTTTCCACTCTGTTCGCGTTGTCGCAGATGTACTTGACGCGTGGATCCCCTCGGGAAGCTGAGTACTTTGCACAGCAGGCTCAGGATCTTGCCGAAGCATTGAACGTTCCCACTGTTGTTGGCCGTGCGTTGACTCGGAAGGCAGAGGTTCAGCTTCATCTTGGTCAACTGCAGGAGGCAAATGCAACACTGGAAAAAGCTGCTGCGTTGCCCTCTCACCTGCCAGGCATTGATACTATTATCGTTCATCGGCTCCGAGCGGAGTGTAATGAGCGAAGCGCTCAGCATGAAGATGCGCAAGAACTTTATCTTTCGACAATGAAAATGCTGGAGGAGCTTAATGGCGCGTTCCAGCAATTCGAGAGTTTGGCGTTTAGGTACGTGACATTATATCTCATTTCTCAGAGAAAAAAGACAAACAAAGTTCCTTCGCTTCAGTCCTCGACGATCACTAGGAACATCCCCTCGGACGAAGCTTCTCCCTGACACTGTTGCTCCTGAACTCCTGGCAGCCGTTCTTCACCAGCATAGTACGTTCATGTTCAATTTTTCGCTAGCTTTCTCTAACAAAAGCAGTCTGGTCACGACGCGATCAGCCAGATGAAGACCTCAATGGCCTGCTTGAGAAGTTCTTGTCTCTGCCGTCTTCATCCCGAATGAAGGTAAGAAATCTCGACTTCGTCCCAACGCAAAAATTTGACCCAATCAATTTCGAAGGCGAATGAGAACTCTCTCATGGGAAAACTAACTCTCTACAGTGTCTATGCTCGCTTCCGCGCTGATATGTTCCTAAGTTCCCTCACCGAGTTTAGTGAGTTGATCGTTTTTTCGTCGTTGCAGAAACTTATTAGTACATCGTAGCAATCGCCATTCCCATGGGAATGTCGACTACGCACAAGGTCGCGTTCGCATTACCCACTCAGGATGTTCTGAACGCTTTGGAAGAGGCAGAGAAGCTATTTCAAGCAAACCTATCATTGACTTCTCGGAATGGTAGTGTCCTCAAACTTCGGGATGCTGCCATTTCTCTCGCACTTATCGAAGCCTTCCAAACTTCCCTTGGCAGACCAGGAAATGGCGGTTCGGTGGTCACTGCCACGTTACTGGGTGGGATTACTTTTATTACCCTCGATTGGGGATACTGATGGTTTTACAGATGTTTCGACTGCAATTACTCTGCGGAGAGAGATGTTGGAATCCATCGAACACAAATTTTCTGCACCTCACATGTCCGACGACCTCCAGTGGCCACTTATCACCTCGGATGGGACACCTCGTCCTCGGCCAAAGATAGAACGCCCGGGCAGATTCAACGTTGATTTAGAGTCCGATGATGATGCAGAAGACAGCGCCTTGCGAGAAGATGCCTTGATTCAAGCGTACTGGACCTCTATCCGAGAAAAATATCGCTCACGACGCCTTGACGTTCAATCTCTTTCGACCTCGGAGACGGGGGACCTTCCCGGTAACTGGATCGTAATCAACATCAATATCACAGACGATAAGAGCACGTTGTTCATCTCACGACGAGAAGGCGGAGTCGAAGGAAGCCAACCACTTGTTTTCTGCGTGCCTCTGAAAGGAAGGAGAGATAACGGAGATGACAATGACGAAGACCATTTAGGGTTCGACGATGCTATTGGCGAGTTGCGCGAGATCGTAAGATTGAGTGACGAGGGTACCAAGACAGCCGTCAACATCAAATCGGATGACGAAGAGGCTCGCGCGAATTGGTGGAAGCAAAGGGGTGATCTGGATACGAGGTTACGCGAGCTGCTTGAAAATGTCGAGTTTTGCTGGTTGGGAGCGTTCAAGGTTAGTGATTTCTGTCTTTCGTCTGACATGTATTAACTATGTATATCAGATAATCCTTAGTCCACGGTCGGACGCGACTCCAGAGATGATTTCGGATCTCCGGGCGCAATTCGACAAGATCTTTCAGCGAAGCCTTCATGTTAAGGACAAGAAACCGAAGCAGCGGGCAGGAAACCACAAGAAAACTGCATCGCAGGCACAGGGACCCAGTCAATTGACACTCGACGATCCGATTCTCAAGTGTTTCTCCACGTTGTCACCGAAATGCAAGGATGAAGAGCTCGAAGATCTTATCTACTTCATCTTGGACCTCTACTCATTTCACGGCGTCCCAGTCGCTATTGCAGAAGTCGATATCGCTCAGCTGGTGGTAGACCTTCGGGCTGTGTTGGAAGAACACGCGGCGAAGCTTCGGCAGTGGAAAAAGACGATCACAGGCAAGATGACCACTTCATTGGCGAATGACCAGGACGAACATTTGTTCTTGGTCCTCGACAAGAATGTTCAGGGGATACCTTGGGAGAGTATACCGATCCTGAGAGGGCGAAGTGTCAGTCGGATTCCCAACATTGAGTTCTTGTACGACAGGCTTGCGTTCGCCAAGTGGAAAAGACAGGGCGATTCTGTGGAGGACGATCCAATCACTGGAGCGGTCATTGATCCTCGAAAAGGATACTTCATCTTGAATCCCAGTGGCGATCTAGCTCGAACTGAAGGTCGATTCCGGGATTGGGCTCATGGGATGAAGAAAGCTGGGTGGGATGGTGTGATTGGCCAGGCTGTTAGTGAGCAGCAGTTTGTGAATGCGCTGAAGACGCAGGACTTGGTTGTGTAAGTATTCTTTCTTGTTCGTTCAAATGTTACTGATATGAATGGTTCCATGGTAGTTACTTTGGCCATGGAGGTGGGGAACAGTATATCCGATCTCATAGGATTCGCAGCCTTCCGAAATGCGCTGCAACTATGCTTTGGGGTTGTTCGTCGGGTGCTCTCCGGGAGTTGGGTGATTTTGATAGGACGGGAACACCTTATAACTACATGCTCGCTGGATGGTACGTATCTGAACCGTCTTTTACTTCAATTACCATTAATGCCATCTTCTATTAGCCCTACGCTTGTCGCGAACTTGTGGGACGTCACTGACAAGGACATCGACAAGTTCTCCCAATCCGTCTTCGACAAGTTGCGTTTGACGCCTGCCGATGTTAGCAAGTGGAATGAACCCGGAAAGGAACCCCACACATCTCCTTCTCTGTCTCTGGTGGCTTCTGTGGCACAGTCGCGGGATTCATGCAAGCTGAAGTACTTGACTGGCGCAGCTCCCGTGGTGTACGGTATACCATTTTACCTTTGATCTCGGATTGGACATTATCTACTCGACATTGTATCGTTCCACATTTATTATAGATGTACTATTTTCAGGACTTGCCCAAGTATGGCGGTCGAGCATTGCTTTGTTAATCATCCAAATCACCGTGTCGCAAAATTTAACGCTTTCACTAGACGAGGCTCATGGTGTGCAACCTACGGCAATTCTAGACTTTAACGTTTGAATTTGAACGATCATCCTCGACGACAAAGATCAGGCGCTGTAAACAAACGCACATAATGAATATGTGCACGTGACTGACGCGACGCGTTCAACTTTGGAGTCAACGTCGACCACGATGATCAGCAGCTTCGATTTACGAATAGAGGTCGAGGCTCTCCAGGAACTTGATAGCTACGACATACCACACGATTATGATCTCACAACAGAGGATCCGGAGCGGCTTCTTGAAGGTGCCAATCTCATTTCCAATTCCACTCAAAATCTGACGATTTGGTAGCTGCCGTGGAGGCTGTCGCCGACTCTAGCAGCGCAATTATAGATGAACAGGTCTTTGACATATATAGGTGTCTACTCAAACACGCAGACGCGGTATCTGGCTCCGTCATGAGCAAACTACTCGACTCCATCTCCTCTGGTCTCCTGGCGGAATTAGAGGCCACTATGCGTGATGTGGAGTTGGGAGACCAGCAGTCGTACATGGCGCATAAAACGCCGTTGGAGCTGTACGCGTTTTTGCTGCAATGGTTCGTTACGGCGGCTGAGAAGGTCAAGGCCACTGAGGATGATGCGCCACCGCCGGCAGCTGCTACAAAGGGTAGGAGAGGGAGGGGAGGTAAAGCTGGAGCTGAGAGAGGAGCGGGTCGTGGAGCTGCGAGCAAGAAGAATGAGTCGTGGACTTGGCAGGACCAGATCCCTGCGACACTTGGGCTGATTGTCAAAGTTCTGCGTCTTCAGACGCAACGTATTTGGACGACGACTGCTGAAAGGGAAGACTTTATCAAGTGCGTTGCTATTTTCTGTTCTCTTCTTTATCTTCTAACATAGTTGTAGAACCATCACAAGACCCGCATATCACGTCGCTGAAAACGAACAATACATGAAAAAGTCAGATATCAAGCTCTGGGTCTACAAAGTCATCTGTCTCTCCGTGAAACACCATGGTCAATCTTTTGCTGTCCACATCAACATCATCCAATTTCTTACATTCTTTGAACACCTTTCCGAGCCCATGGCAGAGTGCCTCACCGTCCTTGCTGGGGAGTACGACCATGCTCAAGTCGGGGACGAAATCTTACGCGATATCGCGGGCAAGACGTTCAATGCACAAGATAGCAAAGGCCCTCGTGCATTCGCGAGGTTCCTCGTCAAATTCGCAGAGCTCGCTCCACGCGCAATACTCAAACAACTCAGCCTCCTTCTAGACCAGCTGGATTCCGAGGTCCGTCTAGCTCTTTTCTGACGTTCACCGCCTAACGAGTACCCATCTCACGCACCAGTCATACCCAATGCGTCAAGCCCTAGTCGAAGTCATCGGCTCCATCATCACCGAGCTCTCAAACACAAGCACAGACAACGACAACTCCAAAACCGCCCAAAAGCAAATAAGCGGGCTCTTCGACCTGCTCCTCGAACGCACGCTCGACATCTCCTCATACGTGCGCACGAAGCTCCTCCAAGTTCTCGCAAAGATGTGCGACTTGAAGCCCAAGTTTCCTAAACAGCGCTTGGCGATTACCAGTGCTGCCATTGCTGCGCTGGCGGATAAGGGCGCGACGGTGAGGAAGACGGCTGCGGCGCTTTTGGTGAAGTTGTTGGAGACGCATCCGTATCGCACGCATGGGGGTATGTTGCAGCTTGATGTGTGGCAGGCGGAGTATCAGGATGTTTGTAAGGAGTTGGAGAAGATTGAGGGGAAGATTGGGAATGCGGTTGAGAAGCCGGAGGGGGAGGAGGAAGAGGAGGAAGAGGAAGAACAGGAGGACGACGAAGAAGAGGAGGGAGGAGGGGAGGAGGGTGAATCTGGAAGGAAGAAGAAATCGAAAAAGTGATTTTTATGCTCTTCGTGTGTAGATCAAACTGACGGTTCTCGTTTGCTAGGTCAAAGGTCAAGAAGGAAGATTCGATGGATGTAGATACCGAACCAGAGGACAACGAAGATGAAGAGAGCGACGAAGAAGACGAGGACGAGGATGACGCGAAAATGGCCGTCAACGAAGATGACGAAAACGCCACGCCCAAGAAAAAGCCCAAGAAGAAAAAGAAGCATGCAAAGCTCAAACCCCGCAAATCTCAATTGAACGTGGCTGCCGTTACCGAGGAACAAGCCGTCCTGGCCGGGTTGGAGGGTCAAGAACTTCAGCTGATGAAGTTGCGCAAGAAATATTTCGTCGAGGGCCTGGCTTTCATTCGTCAGATTGAGAATGCGATGGAGCCAATGGGGTTGCTTTTAGGATCGAAGAATAAGCTGGAGGTTGCTGAGGCTATTGAGTTCTTCAAGGTTGCGCATGATTATGAGTTTGAGAGCGCCAAGGTTGGTTTTGGTTTCGTTGGAGGGTGAAGTCATTCAAGAGCTCACGTTCGTTTGCGTTTGCATAGGTCGGGATTAGGAAGATGCTGCATTTGATATGGGTCAAGGATAACAACAATTCTGGACCTGCGGAGGAGGCTAAGGAGGGTAAAGGTGTTCGGCAGAAGCTGCTTGACTGTTATCGCGGATTGTACTTTGAAGCTATCGAGGGTCTGCAGCCGAAAGAGCAAGTCAGCCGTATCGCGAAGAATTTGGTAGAGTGCGTCATCCCCCCTCTTTCTTGATGAAAATTCTTGAGGCTCATTCATTTTATTAGGCGAACATACGAGACCACGTTGGCTGAACTGACAAGTCTGGAGGAGATGATGCGTATTATGAGCGAAGAAGAGCAGATTCATCAAGATGTCATTTCCAAGCTTTGGCAGATTTATAGTATGTTCACCTTGCGTTATGGCTCTTCTTTGTTCTTACATACCGTCATACAGGTTCTAAACAAAACATTCCGAGTCAGCAGCGCCGCGGAGCCATCATCATCTTGGGCATGCTTGCCTTGGGAAGACGCAGCGTGCTGAGTGATCGTGTTGACACCCTACTCAAAGTGGGTTTGGGACCGTTGGGCAAGGTGAATTGTCTTTCTGTCAATCTTATTCGATGTATGAGCTAATGTGAGCTATAAGGCTGATCTTACCTTGGCTCGATACACATGCGTGGCTTTACAGCGATTGAACGGGAGTGCCAAGAAGGTCAAAGGTATGTCTCGTGCAAAGTCAAGGGGGTTTAAGTTAACACCATCACAGGTTCCCTCCTCGATAAAACCATGCGCATCGAGATGACCAATCCGATCTTCCGCAAACTCCAAGATGCCGTCAACCATCCCTGTCGATCCCGAGAATGGTTTGGGTTCGCTGAGCAAGTCATCAACACCGTATATGCGCTTGGCGAGCATCCAGACGTGTTCTGCAATGAGCTTATCAAGAAATTTACTATCAAAGCTTTCACCCCTCGTGCTCCCAAACCTGCTGTTCCTAAACCCAATAACGAGCCGCCAGAGACGGACCCTGATGCTATGGCTGAAGACCATCCAGGAGACTTTACCCAAAACTCATTGGACACGGCCACGCAGGACTCGACTCCAGGAACGCAGCAGGGTGATAAGGAGAAGGATGTCGGCGATGCGTTTGAGCTAAGCCAGCTTCTTTTCATTGTGGGACATGTGGCTATCAAGCAGATCGTGTTTCTGGAACTTGTTGAGCGGGAGTGGAAGCGCCAAAAGGACGAAAAACAAGCTGGTAGGTCTCTTGTTTGTTCTATTTGATTTCGTCAAGTAACCATGCATGTCTCGCAGCCGAAAAGTTGGCAGCGAAGGCGAAAGGCACCGATAAAGCTTCCAAGGATGGCGAGGAGCTTGATCAAGTTGCTGGTAATGCAGAGGACGAAATTGGAGATCGCGTCGCAGGTGTTCGTGAAACGGAGATGCTCTACGGCACTGACTCCCTTTTGGCGATGTACGGTCCCATGGTCGTCCATATCTGTGGTAGCCCTCACAAATTCAAGGTTCGTGCTCTGTCCTAGAATACATTTCTGGGTATATCTCAATCTTGTTTGCAGAGTCCGACACTGCGAGCAGCTGCAACGCTATCATTCAGCAAGTTCCTTTGCGTCAGTTCGCAGTTCTGCGACCAGAACCACCGGCTACTATTCAAGATCCTCGAAACGTCCAAAGACGCCAACATCCGGAGTAATATCGTCATCGCGCTGGGCGATGTCGCTGTTTGACGCATTTGATCTTGAACGGGATGATCAAGGTGAAAGGCCAGCTTGGGGAGATGGCCAAGTGCGTTGAAGATGAAGATGCACGTATTGCGGATCTGGCGAAGCTGTTCTTTAGCGAGCTGTCTACGAAGGAGAACGCGATCTACAATAACCTCCCTGATGGTAAGTTTTTTTCGTCTGACGCTCACTATGGGATACTGATTTTGTTTGGATAGTGATCAGCCATTTGTCGACGGGTGATCATGCCGTTGACGAAAAGACTTTCAGGAGTACACTCCAATACATCTTCACCTTTATCGAAAAGGTCCGTTTCTCGAGCTGGCTGTCTTGATATGCAGTGCCTTACCATCACGTACCCTAGGAAAAACAAGCAGAGAACATCGTCGAGAAGCTATGCCAGCGTTTCAGGCTCAGCGAAGATCCTCGTCAATGGCGCGACATCGCTTTCTGTCTTTCCCTCCTCCCATTCAAATCGGAGCGGTCCGTCAAGAAGCTAATTGAGGGCTTCCAATTCTATCGGGATAAACTACACGAACCTCAGGTGTATGAAAAGTTTACAGAGATTCTGGCAAAAGTACGGTCTTTCAAGCAGTTTTCAGGGCTCTGATGCTTACTTCTTTATCTACAGGCACGTTCTAATAAATCTAAGGACAAGCCGGATAATGAGCTCAATGAGTTCGAGCATGTATGTTCTGATAGAATGATATCGATATTGTCGCTGACAGTCGATGATTACCTAGCTTCTGGAGGAACACAAGAACCAAGGAGAGGAAGACCAAGCTCTCGAAAAGCGTGTAGAGAAGAAGGCAGCGAAGAAACGGGCCTCAAAGCGAAGTACGCCGTCCTTTCCTTCGTCTTGCCGGTACCCATGAACTGACTGGTCGTAACCCTGATAGCTACCCGGAAGAAACCTGTTCAAGCCGAGGAAGAGTCTGAGTGATGCGATGTTTGATTTTTGTATAATTTATTACCATGAACCACTGGGATCTTTTCTTGTATCACATACTGTATCGTAGTAAAAACCACTGTTTAATGGCATATTCGCAAAATCCGGGGATGGATTGTTCAACTTGACGCAGGAGGCATGTTGAATGTCGAATTTTGGAAGGGGAAGAAGCAGTTGTATCGTAGAAGACGAATGAATGAATGAGTGTGGTGGTCATGCCCAAAAGAAACCATAGTTCGCTATAGAGATAAGCTATCGAAAAAGGACAGTGAGGGCGACGAGAACGCCAATAGCTCGAGGGAGAGAAAGTCCAGAGAGTCAGAGAGAGAGACAAATCGTATATAGATACAAAAAAGATACGCGTTCGAAAGGAAAGGAAAATGGGGAGGTATAAGGAGTGAGAGATCGATCAAATGAGCGTGGGTGGAGAGATAGTTAAATTGAGTGATAAGGAATTGAAATTATGAACCCGGGTATTGCTTATGCTAGCGTGATTTGAGTTTGAGTGAGTGAGGTCCGGGTGGGAGGCGTGTGTGGTTGATACAGTATATGGATGGATGAATGGTTTTTTTGTGATTGCAGGGGTCTCTTTTCTTGTGGTGGGACTTTTTCTGACTTCTGACTTCCAGCAATGGGGTTGGTTCGTTAAATTTGGTTTGGTTTGAAGGGATGGCTGGGTGGAGTGGAGAAGGACGGGAGGGACCGCGGTAGCGGATGGGTGGGAGCTTGCCGTATGAACGAACGGCCTAGGGAGGCGGGCGGGTGATCGAGGAGGAGGGAGAAAAACGGCGGCGCAAGACGTGAACCCAACACAAGTCTATTCAGGTTCAAACCTCGCACCACCCTCACCCCCTCTCATAATAGCCTTCATAAAATCAAAAGAACCTTTCCGCATATTCCCCCAGGTGGAACCGGGCTATCTTATGCTGTTGACCCCCCCAAAATCAACATTCTCTTCTTCAAGTTCCCAAAAGAAAATGGAGGAAGACTCACCCGATCAGCCTTCAACCCCTTCCACAAATGCTCAGCCCTCTTCACAAGTGAATAAGGCGTCAAAATATCAATAACGCCCAAATAATAAATCACATCCAACCCTTCATTGCCTTCGTCCGTCGCCCTCAGCCCTGCCTCGTCTTGATAAAAGATCAACTGAAGTCGATCCCCGATATCTTCTTCGGGGAGTCGGATAGTATGTTTGCCTAGCCGCTTTGGGTCCGAGGACCGCATGGCCCGACGCATGGCGATGGCTTCGGGGGATTTGTGTCCTCCTGAAGTTGTTTTTGAGCGGCCTAGGGAGTTGGGTAGGTCCGGCTACAAATACGCGATGGTGGGTGAGCCATATGTCGTTAAGGAGAAAGAAAGAAAGAAAACCCACCGAAAACACCTTCAACGTATTCCTCCTAACATTATCCCTATTCCCCCTCTGCATATTATGTATCCCCACCAAAAGACTATAATCCATAACATTAACCCCCCTCAAAAACTCCGCGTCCCTCCTAAGCTGTTCCGTCAACAACGCCCTCTTCTCCGGTCCCAAATCCAACGCCTTCCCCCTCTTTATCCAATTCAAATCTTTCAGCACAGCCCGTGGGTTTCGCGCGGCTTTGTCTTCGGGGTACTCACGGCCAACCGTACTCCCCTTTAGATCATACGTCTCGTGGATGTCTTTATGTGGTGGGAAGAGGTTGTTCATGATCACGAAATGGATTTTCCGACCTCGGGGGAGCTTGACGCGGTGTAACCCGTAAAACCGACTAAGCAGCGTATGTGGGTTTTCTTTGACGTGGTCAAAGTATTGTGGGAGGATGGACAAGAGGAATTTATGTTCAGAGTGTCGGATGGTTTTGATTATGAACCGATAGTCTCGCGAGAAATAAAAGAAGGAGCCTGATTTGCCGGGGGATCCGAGTTCGGAAAGGATGTATTTTGCGGTGAGGGAGAGGAGGTAGTCTGCGGGGTCTAGATGGAATATGTCTTCTCGAAGTGTGCGAAATACCCAAGGCGCGTAATCCTTGAACTTGAAGTCGTATTTTGCAGACGGAGTCAGCTCGTTTCCGACGATATCGAATGAAAACTTGTGACGCGCGGTAAAGTCTTCTATCGTCAGTGGTCGTTTTATTTTAGCTTGACATCGAGAAACCTGCTCGACGTGAGCGTGTATCATGAATAAGGAAAGAGCGAAACCCACCCCGATACGTATACCCGTCAACATATTATACATCAACACATAATTCACATGATCCTCCCCAATAAGATTCCCCACAAGCGGCATATCCTGCTCAGACTTGGGCCGCGCCTCAGCGCGCGTAAGCGCCGCCTCCGCTTCTTGTTGCAGCTGCTGCTTCGCCCTCTTCTCCATCCTCTCCCTCCTAATCTGCTCCGCAGCAATCTCAATATCAGACGCGAGCTCTATCCCCGCTTCACCGATATACGACGCATCCTCAGGTGAATGCGACGAGCTCCCATATTGCCTCGTATGTGTCTGATGGCCGCGCTTGAAACTGGCAGCGATGGGGCTTGAACCTGTTGTGTTTCGACGAGTTGGACGCATGGGTATGATGGCGACCGGAGGCTGGAGGTATGGATCGTATGCTGCTGATTTTGATGATGATTCGCCGGCGGCGGTGGGGGGAGAGGCGTAACGGAGGGTTGGAAGAGAGCCTTTGGTGTCGGTTGAGGCCCTGTGGAGGGTAGTGTCGAATGTGGATGACCTGGCTGTCAATCGAGAAGATGTGGATGATGCTTGACGTTCTCGAGCAGTAGTGGAGGACTCGCGAATGACGGAATCTGAATGCGACGCGGGTAGTAGTCGACTGGGAGGAGGCGGCGGCTCCAGTTCGTCTCTTTCAACGCTGGCGGGGGGAGAGGGCGGGGGCGGACCAAAGTGGACTTCGTCACTGCTTGGTTGCACCGTTTCCGTCGTCACCGACTTTGTCACCGTCGTTCTGGTAAAATAACTATCTTGGCCAGCAGGCCCGGTTTCTACCTCCACCTCACTGGTGACCATGATAATCTGAGGTTGCTCATTGTTGGTGCTGTCGTCTCCATCTCGATTGGTGATGGTGTGAGGAGACGACGCAGTGGACGTCGTAGACAGCGGAAGAGACTGGCGCGAGGCAGCGGCAGAGACGGGGGCGGTCTTGTAGGATGTAGCTGACGATGACAGCATGCTGCTGTGGGTTGAGAGGAGGCTCTGCCTGTAAGCAGGCACAACGATCGGCGAAGGCGAACGACGGGTGGGCGAAACGGCAGTGATTGAAGAAGCCATCGTCGTCCAGCGTCGAGGACAGAATATAAAAGAAGACGGCGGTGAACGGTTAAGAATGCAGTGCGACAAACTGTATTGTGGCTGTGCTTTTCTATGACTCTCAGGCCATGGTAACGTCTATCGCCTTTGAATAAACCTTGGGGACGTTCGGGAAGCTTCCCGTCAGTAATCTTCGCCGCCAATCGTCTAACAGCAGACGTCCATCGACAATATCAGAGCTACTGGGGCATTGGGCTCGTCAGGTAATACTTATTGTACGTGCGCATTTATGTTGACCATGTATATATGGCCTAGGAGACTTTACGACGATGTCGAAGAACAATGCAGAAGCATTATAACGATGAGTATAGATACAGCGATAAGGATTCTAAATCCTCACTGTCAGCCATGCAATGTTTACGATGCCAGGGGGTTCCCAATGGTAGCCCAATGTTTTTATGGGGCCTCACGCTTCTAAACATGGAAGTTAAAGACAGGCAAAGTACACTGACTAGCTCTCGGAATAAGCAAGGGGACCGTCGACATGTCGATGCTTTCTTTTACCGCAAAGGTAACGTTCATCTGAACCATTTTATTTATAAGCATTCAACAGTTGTTCAACAGCGCAACCACTTTGATTCTCACAGGTGCATTTACTATTACCAGCCAACCCCACATTCCTTCCAGGCCGACGAAATAGAAAAGCTAGGAAGAAAAAATGCGCATACATCCACCAATGAAATTTTTCACACGTAGGAATACAGGTTGAGAAAGGTCGCGTAGTACAGCACAAGTCAGTCGCCGACTCATCCTCTAAAATCAAAAATCAACAACGCATTCACAAAAAAAGTAATAGGTACAACGTACCTCAAATCATATCCGCTATGCCACCCCTAGCTCATCATGCATGTGCTCCTCATCCTCAATATAGCGTGTACGATAAAAGTAAGGCACATATATCAAGCTAATAAACATCTCCTCCAGCTTCAGGTCTGAAACCTATTGTTCAATGCAAGTACACTCACTGATCAAAAGTAATGTCACATGATTTTTTGGACAAAGTTGGTGTTATAACACAAGAACCAAACATTTTAAGGATTAAACTCTGGTGCATGAAACATAGCTAAGGAGGTGTAGATTGTATATACCAAGTCTGGGGATGAACAGATAAAAACTCAGGATACAGCAGGGCATTGACTGTGATAACTCCCAAAAATGGGATGTGACAAAATGGGAAATTCTGAATGACTCCAACCTACTGGAAGCAATTCACAACTTGAGGAAGAGATATTTTGAACACTGGATCTCCCTGCTATTGTTATGAGCTTCACAAAGTCTTTGGGCTAGAAAATTTTATATCCTCCCCTAAAAGGTAAATTTGAACTTGTTCTCAATTTATATACTTTTCACTCAATATACTTGTTGGAATGAGATAAAATGACTCCTCATCAATGTTGGTAGTGTGTATAATATAAAAGGTAGGTAGAAATGTTAAAATGAACATTGCATAATGTCTTTAGAAGCTAATTTCCAGAGTTTTTCTGGAAGTAAACAAGTATCTACAGCATTGGTCCTTCTTTTCTGCAAGAAGAAAAAATGCTACCATCCTTTTGAGTTAATTGATGGAGACTTGGGATGTCTTTTAAACAATGCCTGAAGTATAGCATGATAGCAAATAGATTGTCACTGGGTATAACTTGAAAAGTCCCCAATAAAAGTACATTTTGCATG